AATTCAAGGATCACGTATCGCTCAATACCACTTGATATGAAGTCAACCACCTGATTGAAATGTTGAAATTATATGGAACAATATAACGTATATGATCGCAAGTAAAAGAATAAAAGAAGACAAGAAAATATGGCACGAGAATTATGAGATTTTATTACACCACAAATAATGAAGAGGTGAATATTGCAATGATCCTAAAAGTTAGTAATCACTTTTTTCACACTATAAAATTGTATAGAATAGCATAATATTTATAGGGAACATGTATGAGACATCCAAACCATTATAGTAGAGTTGTTGAAAAGTATGATGCCAAAAAATTGAGTCTAAAACGAAAAAGGAGAGAAAACGCAAAAATTCAAAACAGACAGATGGCGCTGCGACGCCGGGCGTTCTGCCCTTCCCTTTTTTTCTTCAAGTTGTTTTCTTTATCTCAAAGTAATTTTCCAAGCCAAATTCCCAATAAGGTTTCCAAATATAATTTCAATTTGAATAAGACTCCAAAATCATTCAAAACTGTATTCCTCTTGACGTGCATTACAATTAGAATTTTTCAATTATTTCAACAAGAAATTCGAGTCACACCCAAATTCTAACAATTTCCACCTTGACACGAATTCCACTGCAACGAACAAAGCTCCAAAATTTTCTCCACCTGGAGAAGAAAATCTGTTTGTAAAGAATGAACTAAGTCAACTAACTTTTCAACAATAACTAAAACTGATTTCTCCAACCAAATATAAAATACTCCACATCTTCCAATGAATCCAAACACTACCCTGCAGAATTATCTCATATTCCCAAAAAATCATAATAATTTTAAAATTCACTAAACTCGGTTGTAACACACCCCAAAGCAGAATCAAACACAAACGCTTTTAAAGAATGCCTTTTTGCTAGATTGTACAGATTCTACTATGACACCGTAGGTTATCCATATCTCCTGAACTCCACTGAGCTAGATTTTTCAAATTTGACCATTTACGAGCTCCTAAAGGTATTGTACCAAACTGAATGTCCACTACAGTACTGAACTTGTGCTGATTGATTCTTCTAGATTCTGCACGACCCTACAAGATGTATAATTGAGACCTTTTATGTCCCTCCAATACAATTTGGGTACTCTTACAAACTTTTAAAACTCCACCTCCACCAAAGAACTCATAACCCTTTACATCAATGATAGATAACGAGACGAGACTCTCCTTCAAATCTAGAACACGTCGAACATGGTCAAGTGCTCTAGTTGTCCCATCCAATAGTTTCATTCTAACTGTACCAATTTCAACAACCCGACAGGTGTTTTGTTTTCCATAACCACGACACTTTTGGAAACAGTTTTCTGTGTAGTAAAAAAATCCTTATTAGGACACATAAGAAACACAAACACTGAATCCAAAATCCAATCCTCCTCTAGTTTAGACTCGATGTCAGAAATGACCAAGAGATCTCCCCCACTTACAATGTTCTTTGCGAGGTCCGCTTCTCCTGAAGTCTCTGATTACTTCCCATATCGACTTGCAATCAATCTTTCTTTATTTTGCAATTTGTAGCAATATTTCTTCATGTGATCATTCTTCTTGTAGAAGTTACAAATTTGATTACTGAACTTAGACTTTGATCTGCCCCTTCCAGAACTACCATGAGCAATAATGCATTATCCATGTCTAGCCTCAAACACCAGATACTTCATCATTTTTTTTTTTTTTGAAAATAAAGCATCATACACCTCATATATGGTGATAGTATCACGATAATACAAGATCGTGTATCTAAATGAAGAAAATGAAGCNATTGAGAATTTAATGATCACTAATCGCTCGATACCACTTTATATGAAATCAATCACCAGATTGATATGTTAAAGTTATATGGCACAATAATGAAGTATTTGATCACAAGTAAAAAAAATAAAAGAAGACAAGAAAATATGGTAGAGGAATTAAGAGATTTTATTGCACCAATAATAATAGGGAAATATACAATTGATCATAAAGTTCTGTTAATATGTTTTCTCAAACTTATGAAATTGTATAGAAGAGCCTAATATTTATAGGGAATATATAAGAGACATTCAAACCCTCATAGTAGAGTTGTTAATGAAGTAGGATGCCAAAAAATCGAGTCCAAAACGAAAAAGAAGAAAAAACACAAAAATTCGAAATAGACGCCGCCACCTCCGGGCACCCTACTCCCGGGGCAACACACCAAACAAAGGTACTGGTGCCGCAGAGCGGGGCGTTCTACCCTTCCATTTTTTTCTTCAAGTTGTTTTCTTCAAAGTTCTTTTTCAAATCAAACTCTCAATAGAGCTTCCAAATAGAATTTTAACTTGAATAAGATTCCAAAAGCATTCCAAAGTGAATTTCTCTTTATATGCACTTCAATTAAAATTTTTCAATTACTTTAATAAGGAATTCGGGTCACACCCAAATTCTAACAATTAAAAGAACCAAGTTGATCACGGTTGTTTTAATTAATGATATATGTCTTTTTTGCACGTTCATTAGCACATATTGTCTGTGTACGCGCATGAATGTTGTATTTTTAACTTCAACTCTTCAAGAATACAATTATACAAATAACTAGAATATAATCTTACACGTACTCGGACTTAGAAAAATACGCGTTTCTCACTGAACTCATTTTGTTTGTCTCTGGGGTAGAAGGCTTGTGCTTTGGTGCATTTTGTTGTCGTACTCAGGCTTTGGATGATGAAGTGGTTGCCATATAGTTTGATCAATGCCTGTGCAAAAGCACTTGAATAGATTTCATCTTCGATGGGGACGAACTGTTGGGTGAAGAATTTTATGGGGGTTTTGGAGAGGATAGTAAAGCCCATATGAGCAAAGTTTCAGTGGATGAACCTGTTGATATTGATCTCCAAATTTCTTGACAGTAGAGTCTATACGAGTAAGGTTGAGCATTGTCGAAACATCTGGAGTTACTATCAAATTTGTTTCACTATTGTCCTGTCAAAACATCTGGAGTTATTGTCAAGCTCTTCCTTGTTTCCTGAAAATTGATTGTCATTCAATGACCACATCTATATATCTGAACAATGAAATATCATAGTGCAAAGTGGTTAAATGCATATAGGAACAATAAAAGCTAACTCTCTAACAACTTAAGCTTTAAGATGTTATGACCGTTAAGGTTTTTCGACATCGGTTGTGGAGGGGGGCTGGTGATTACTTTATAAGTGTGGGGAAAAACCTCACCTTTTGAACTAGCTTTTGGGGTTAAGAAAGCCCAAGACCACCCAACACTGGTATCAAAGCTCAAGTTATAAAACAAGTTTCAGCCCAACGGTCCACAGGAGATACGAGTTTGCTCCCACCTAGAGCTTGATGTGTGAGGGGAGATTGTTGAGGTTATCCCACTTCAGTAGTGGAAGGGGCGGAAGTCAATTTATAAGTG